GAGGGGGAGGGGGGGGGGATAGGGGGGGTGGGGGGGGGGGGGGGGGGTTCGCTGATATATGGTTGGGGCTGGGTGGTGGTGGGATGTGGTGGTGTTGTTTTGGGAGTTGTGTGTGTGTCGATTGTGAGATTAGGGAAAGGGGGGGGAGTATATTCCGTTTTTTGGTCTGTGGAATTGTTATCCTCCCCCCTTTTCACCTCAACCCCCCCCTTCTTATCATCGCTCCACCATAACTTACCATCACGACGACACCTCTCTTTCCTCAGGTTGTGAGCACTCTTTTTCTTCTTCTTCTGCCTTCATCAAACGTGGACTGCAGATGACGCGGAGCTTACTGGTGTTCCGACGATCTGTGTAACTTTGTTTTCAAAAACAAATCCGATAAGTGGACAAGCAGAGTGTGTAGTGCGAATGGATGCCGGTGAGAAGGGATGTTGTCGGTGAGAATAGGAGATAGTGAGAGAGAACAAACGGCAGTAAGAAAAGGCAGTAGTGACAGAACAGACGACAGTAGCTCGAGCAACATGACAAGGCACACCGCATCTTGAGCGCACATTAACTCCAATCTGTCCATATCCGTCGGTGTCCACGCTACCGTTAAACACCCAACATTTCATAGGATTGGAGTTACATGATTTGGGTCTCCGCTCGAGAGAGATATATAGTTATCGATGAAGACCGTCATTTGCTTCTTGGCATCGTTTCCTAGGGTGTTCGGCACTCGAGGGTCTGCCTTCTGCTATTTTGGGTTATGGGATTTCCTTCTCCTTGTGTTTGCTCTGTGTTGTTCTTTGTTGTAAGCTTCTTGCTGGATTTGTGGGGTGTTGAGTGCTTCTGTTTGACTCCTTTGGTGATGGTTTTTATAAATTGTGGTTTGTTGGATTTTTATTAATTTCCATAATATTATTTATACGAATTATATTGTCACTACGAAAAATATCCTTAAATCCTAAATCATAAATTTCCAATCCCTCCAAAAAGAAAGATATCAAAATTAAATTAAATTAGAGCGGTAGGAAATCAATACTAAGACATCTATTCTACGAGAGGGGGAGATGGTGAGTACACTTGACGGATGGTAAGGGTTGGATGGAACAAGATGTTGCGTGAAAGCACGATTTACATCCCCCCTTTCCCCAAAAGAAATACATATACAGACATCCTCTCAGTCCAGCCCCAACCAGCCAAGCACCCCATCACACTGTATCATGGGAAGAATTCTGATCTACGGCTATTTCGAGGGCGGATTTACGATACGATGGGGATAGTGGCAGTTATCATCATGCGAGCGATAGACTATATAAAGCTGGAGACGTAGCATCTCAAGGGTAGACATATCAACAATGACTGCATACAGAGTAGGCGAAGCAAGCCTGCATTTGGTTGTTTATTTTGTGGTTGTTCGCGTCCCCTTTTCATTTTGACTCCTTATACTCCTCCTTACCTCCCTCAGCTCCACCAACTCATCGACGGCGTAAGTGTAAGCGGGTTGTCTTCTTCTCCTAATATAATAGCTGAGATTATTCACAGTAAAGCGAGAAGGCAATGAATTCGCTCATTCCCTCTGATGTCGATTCAGTGAGCCTCGGTTTCTTTTGATTTTATTGCTTGCTCGGGCTCTCCGTCGGTGAGTCGTGACACTTATGCCATCCAAGTTGCAACTCGACCAGAAATATCGCTTTTTGACGTGGAAATACGAACAATACTACAGTGTTTTTACCTCGAGAGATAATGATATGCCCAGTCACTTTGGTTAGTGGTGAGAATAGGAAACGACGAGAGGAGATTATAGTGGTGAGAGAGAATGGGCGGCGGCGAGAACAGGAGATGGTGAGAACAGGAGGCGGCGAGGGCAGGAGATGGATAGAATCAGCAGCGGTGGTGGGAATAAGGAGACTGCTCGGGGTGTATTTAGCATCGAGTGAGACTGCCACGTAAATGTTCTAGTTCATGTCAAAGAGAAGATTGAACACATTGCATCGAATGCTCGTCAGAATTGCCTCTAATAGGGGTGTATACACTGAGCATCCGTACTAAACCATGAATACCGGACCATCGGTTACCCAAGAGACTTGGCAGACTTCGTGTGTGTTATTGTGACCTCACACGCGATCTGGCCGTGCGAACAAGCAATGTCCATCCCGCCTTTCTAACCATATGCAGAACCCAGAAATGCTTCGTCAGCTTCAATAAGGCTGGCAGCCATGGGTTCTGTATAGCGCACCCCGAAACGACCCTCGCCAAGAACCTGCAGATTTCCGCTTTCGTCGCGTGTCTCACTCCTTTCGCGTGGTTAATGTCACGAGGCAATTATCCGGAGATTCGCCGTCGCCGAGGTCTGGGACTAATACGACCACACTACTTTTTTTTACCCATATTTCTCAGGTGGCCTAGACTCGTAACAATTCCGTCAATTGGATTGGTGAAAATCAACCTCTGCAATGGCCTATCAGAAGTCGTCTTAATCGCTGTCATCAAACTATGTTCGTGGTAGTGGTGTGGTGCGTCCTGAAGACCCTGTGAAATATGAAAAATGTCATGTTGGAGCTGCAGGGATCCGAGCCCTGGAATTCCCAACTAAAGGGGCCGACTTCATTACGGGTGTCCGTTTTAAGTACAGCGAGTTCTGCGAGTATTTCAGGGAACATGTCATTTCTGACGAGGTGACCTCCTGTTGCCTGAATAAGGAGGAACCCAAACCGCCACCTCCTAGCGATCTCCCGTCCTGCTCGGTTGGCCCCTTGGCACGCCCTGTCCAACTGAATTTTGTCAGGTGTTCCGAAACATCCTTCAAACCTACCCGAGCCGCCTCCATGACTGACAATTGACTCGTGTTTGATGCGTGGCGGTTGGTGGCGTGGTACGATGGATTGCGGAGAGTTTGTTCGGGGTGATTGTGGAGAGCGTGGGCAATCAATGGGGGATGGGGAATGGGGTGTCGGGGAATATTCGGTTGGTACGGTGGTTCACGGCCAAATTTGTATGGTGAGTGTGGTGCAGAGTTGGGCTTCACCACAGCAGTACACTTACATAGCGCAATGCAGCAATCAGTCCAATAATCCCATCTATATTCCAATAAAACTACGCAGGATCTAAGAGCTCCTGAGAGGCTTGCATGAATCCCCTAGGAAGCGCCGAAGCCTCGACCGCCTGTAGCTGCAGAGTTTTCATGCCTCGGGTGTGAACAGTGGGAGCGCTGACCACTCTGGTGGGGATTACCAGAGTTCCCAGGGCCCAAATCACCGATTTTCCACGTGCTCGGCCCGTTTCCCAACACAAGGGGATGGGAGGTGGGGGATGGGGGATTGGGGAATGGGGGAAAATGGGGGATGGGGGATGGGGAGAAGATGGGGAATGGGGAATGGGGGATGGGGGACGGGGGACGCGCTGTGGGGTGGCAATAGGAATGGTGAGACTGAATGGGCGGCAAGAATATAATCGGCCCGTGAGAAATACTCTGAGTGCGTCATTACTCACGGGACCCCCTTCCAAAATGTATCACTTTTCAAAACAACACCACGACCACAGCTTCACAGCTACAACTCTGTAACAAAAAATCGGAATAATGCATTAATACTAGGTCTATTATGATCAATGCATCAAGCTACAATTAATTTCGTCGTTCCACGTGGAGTTATGGTTGAAATGTGATATTTTTGGTGGGGGAGATCACTGATGCCGCTAGCACTCACAATCGGCCCGGAAGGAAATATTATAAACGGGCCGCAAGGAAATATGGTAAACGGACCGCATTGAGATATTGTAAACGGACCGCGCGAGTAAATTCGAAGTTAGACAGGCGCATGACTTGGTGTTACTCTGCTTCTGTGCTGTCGTGCTCTGGCCTTATATACCCCGCCGGTTCCCCCTCCATACCTGCTTGTTCTCCACGCACTTCTCATATTCAACTCCTATCCTTATCACAACCATCATCATGGGGGAAGCTGTTACTGAGATCAGGGCCGAGACCCTCAATGGGCCAACCGATGTCGAGCGCATTGAGGCGCCAATGACCACAAAGGCCTACTTCCTTTGCGCCTTTGCTGCCTTTGGTGGTTTCTTCTTCGGATACGATTCCGGACACATTGGTGGTGTTTTGGGCATGAAGTACTTCATCCACCAATTTGAGAACCTGCCATACCCCGCCGTCGGTGCCACCGACGCCGAATCCGCTTACTTCGTCGTCTCTTCGTCTAACAACTCGCTCATTGTCTCGATTCTCTCTGCTGGAACTTTCTTCGGTGCCATCCTCGCTGGTGATCTCGCTGATTGGTTTGGACGCCGCACAACTATTATGTTGGGCTGCCTGGTTTTCATCGTCGGTGTTATCCTTGAGGTCGCCTCTTCTACTTTCGCTCTTCTCGCCGTTGGCCGTATCATCGCTGGTTTCGGTGTCGGTTTCGTCTCTGCTATCATCATTCTGTACATGTCTGAGATCGCACCAAAGAAGATCCGTGGTACCCTTGTTTCGGGTTACCAATTCTGCGTTACCATCGGTCTCATGGTTGCCGCCTGCGTCGACTATGCCACCAAGGACCGCATGGACTCTGGCTCATACCGTATCCCCATCGCCATCCAGTTCCTCCCAGCCGTCGTTCTTGGCGTCGGTCTCTTCTTCCTCCCCGAGTCTGCCCGCTACTTCGTCAAGAAGGGTAACCTCGTCAAGGCCGCCGCCGTCCTTGCCCGCATTCGTGGCCAGCCCGTCGACTCCGACTACATCCAACAGGAACTCGCTGAGATTGTTGCCAACCACGAGTATGAGATGCAGGTCATCCCCCAGAGCGGCTACTTCTCGTCCTGGGCCAACTGTTTCAAGGGTGGACTCACCAACCCTGGATCCAACCTCCGTCGCACGATTCTCGGTACCTCCCTCCAGATGATGCAGCAGTGGACCGGTGTCAACTTCATCTTCTACTACTCCACCATCTTCCTGCAATCCCTCGGCACGATCAGCAACGCCTTCTTGATCTCCATGATCTTCACCATCATCAACGTCGTCAGCACCCCAATTTCCTTCTACACCATTGAGCGCTTCGGTCGTCGCGCCATCATGATCTACGGTGCCCTTGGAATGGTTATCTGCCAGTTCATCGTCGGCGCCGTCGGAACTGCCCTCCCCGACGACCAAAACGCCACCCGTGCCTTGGTCGCCTTCATCTGCATCTACATCTTCTTCTTCGCCACCACCTGGGGTCCAGGTGCCTGGGTTCTCATCGGCGAGATCTTCCCCATCCCCATCCGCTCCCGTGGTGTTGGTCTCTCTACCGCCTCCAACTGGCTGTGGAACTGCGTAAGTTGACCCCCTAATTTGCTCCACATGGAAAAATTGAAGCTAATCATCTCCCCCACAGATCATCGCTGTCATCACCCCCTACATGGTCGGCAAGGACAAGGCCAACCTCGGACCCAAGGTCTTCTTCGTCTGGGGCTCCCTCTGCTTGTGCTGCCTCATCTACGCCATCTTCCTCATTCCCGAGACCAAGGGTCTGTCGCTTGAGCAGGTCGATCGCATGTTCGAGGAGTCCACCCCACGCAAGTCCGCTAAGTGGGTGCCACACAGCACCTTCGCTTCCGAGATGGGTCTCGCTGAGAAGGCTCCTGTTGCTCACCACGGAGAGACCCTTGAGGTTTAAGTGGCTGAGGCGTGTCGTTTTGGAGCGGAATGATTAATTCGAGTAGACTGCTATTATAGAGTCTAGACTTTTCCCTACTGAACTATGTAATTAATATAGATAGAAAGCAAATAAACCTTTCTGTTCAAAAATACTGGCTACTATTTGAGTGAACGTTTTCTGTGAATTGAATGCTTGCAGTAGGACAGTTCGGGCCGTCCCAGTAAACGACAGAAAAGTGGTCCCAGTGCGGACATATCTCGAAAGCGAATTTTCTCAGAGGAGAAAAGCTTCACGGTCTATTGGGAAAGTCGTGTGCAGTAGAGCTTGCGCACACGTCTGTTATCGGAAGTAGAGAGCAGTATAAAATTGGCACTTTATTGGAAAGGTAAGATATAAGTATAACAGCATTGAAATAGAGGTAATGAACTACTGGCGCCCTCCTCCCCCTTCAAAGTTTGCGAGCTCATCGTCGTTGCTGTTTCCCCCCCCCACAAAAAAAAAGTTCACCCCACCAAGTTTGTTTCTCTCAAATCCTATCCCTCCCCAAAAAAAGACTACTTACCCTCCGAAATCCCAGACCATCCCCACACTAAAAGTCCAAAAGCAAAAAAAAAAAAAAAAAGGAAGAATTTGGAGCGGCAGGGGATCGAACCCTGGGCTTTTCGCATATAAGTATCATATCCAATCTTGCGACTGGGGCAATGCAAAGCGAACACTCTACCACTGAGTTACAGCCCCGTGTATTTATAGCGTCCGGGCGCTTGGGAGAGGTTTTATGAGGTGGTGCGTTTTTCTGGTTTGGGGATCCGCTTTTTATTTTTAGTGGTGTGGTTGTGTGTGTGGGGATGGTGACGGGAAAGGGGCGTAGGGTACGATACTTCGCTCAGTTATTGCAGCTGGCAGAAATATATGCCAGAGATGGAGATGGAAGTAAAGAATCCAGACGTCATCCCAGTGGACCGGTGGTACACGTACTCATGCGCGCCGTACTTCAGAGCAAGGAGGCACCTGGTTAGAGCCATCATATCATCGACGTGGACGGGCTCTCTCATACAATGTGGCAAGAGGGCACAACAGGGAAGCCAGCGACGATACCATCAATAAAGGAAACCTTTCTCTGGAATATCGTGGTTACCTGTTCCTTGTTCCCACTCCTCTGCCGGTCGAGGGTCTGCTGGCTTCTTATTTCTCACTGTCGCGCCACCTTGTTCTCACTGCAGCAAAGTTCTCACCACCGCCTATGTATTCTCACCACTGACAATCCCCCATCCTGCCCCGAGCTTCCACATGGCCAGCACCTCAGACCGAATGGCTAGATTCTGTGGCGCTGTTCCAGACAATCGAATATTCCCTTTTGTCACCAACTGTCAGGAACTGGCCGAGAACTCTACACATACGATTCCTGCCCCTTCTTATCTACTATCCTTCCATCTCCGTCCATCACGCACGAAAGGAGAACTGGGAATATTACTTCTTTTCTTCTTTTTTCCATTTCAATTACATCTTATTCTAATCTAACCCCCCATTCATTCGCCTTCAAATATATAAATCCCCTTTTTCACCCTCTCTCTCTCACACGGGTGAAGTTGCCCTCCTCCCCATAGATCCAAAGTCTGCGCACGCTCAGGCACCACGAGTGCCTACGCCGCCTATCCTCCCCACCACCACCCCACCGTATTAACAAAAGGGTTTCCCCTTCCCCTAAAAATCCCGCGCCTACGCGCTTCACCTTCACCTAGTAGAAAAAATTCCCACACTATCATATACACCCCCCTACCTCTTCCCCGTCATAGCCAGCGTAACCGGCGTCGCCATACCCCCAGGAGCAGGCGTACTACTCCTCGTCGCCGGCGCGGAGCGATTATGCGCCATATGGCTCTGAACCAGATGACCCGCCGCGAGGGCCGAGCAGAGGGAAAGCTCACCCGCCAGGACACCGGCAGCGACGATGCGCGCGAGCTTGCGCGCGTTGTCGCCCGGGTTGGTGGGGTGGGAGCCACGGACGCCGAGGAGGTCGAGCATTGCGGCTTGGGGCTCGAGGATGGTGCCGCCGCCGAGGGTGCCGACTTCGATGGAGGGCATGGAGACGGAGATTTGGAGGTTACCGCGGAGGCTGGGGGGTGTTAGCTGAGGTTCTTATTTTTTTTGAAGAAAGGGGAGGGGGGGATAGACGTACTTCTTCATAATAGTAATACAGTTACTGCTCTCCACGTTCTGCGCGGGATCCTGACCAGTAGCGAGGAAGATGGCAGTGACGATGTTACCAGCGTGAGCATTGAACCCGCCAATGCTTCCCGCCATCGCGCTACCGATAAGGTTCTTGCTAATGTTCAGCTCGACCAGCGCGTCGACCTCGCTCTTGAGGACCTTGCGCACCACCTCCGCGGGAATGATAGCCTCAGCCACAACCCCCTTGCCGCGGCCGTCGATCCAGTTGATAGCCGCTGGCTTCTTATCCGTGCAGTAGTTACCAGAGACGGAGATAATCTGCATATCGTCGAAGCCGCTCTCAGTCGACATAACCTTCAGCGCGTGCTCGACGCCCTTGGAGATCATGTTCATGCCCATTGCGTCACCGGTGCTGGTCTTGAAGCGGATGTAGAGGTAGGTACCGGCTATGGCGGTCTTCATGGTCTGGAGACGCGCGAAGCGGGAGGTGGAGTCGAATGCCTTCTTCATGGTCTTCTGGCCGGCCTCGGAGTCGAGCCAGTTCTTGGCGGCGCCGGCGCGCTCGAGAGTCTCGAAACCGATACATGGGCCGCGGGTCATGCCGTCACCGGTGAGGACGGTGATGGCACCGCCGCCGGCGTTGATGGCCTTAGCTCCGCGGCTGGTACTGGCGACGAGGACACCCTCGGTCGTGGCCATGGGGAGGAAGTAGCTTTGTCCGTCGATAACGATAGGTCCGGCCACACCGACTGGGAGTGGCATGTAGCCAATGACATTCTCGCAGCATGCTCCGAGGACGCGGTCCCAGTTGTAGTGTTCGTATGGCAGCTTGGAGCCTTCGAGAAGGCTGGTGGTGTGAGATGTGGCAGCTGTGCGTGCGACAACGGCACGGCGAATCTTAACAGCGCGGGTGGTGTCCTTGAGGGTCCTCTCAAGAGCGTAACCAGGAAGCTTGCCTGAGAGGGAAAGCTCGATAAGTTCCTTGTCGTTCAATTCCGGGGCGCGCTTCTCGAGGAGCATCTTCTCAATCTGTTCGGTGGTGCGGCGTAGAGCAACAGAGCCGTTAGCGACCTTTGGTAGGATAACAAGATCACCCTCATCATCAGTGTTGGCTGGAGTGGGCAGGCGGTCGGTTGGGCGTAGGTTCTCATCGTACTGGTTAGCCGCTGGAGACGGACGGTCATCAGTAAGACGCTGTGCCCTTTCGAGGGCAATAGGGTCGATAGCGAGGATAGGAGTCTCGGGTTCCTTGATGGACCATCTTGCGGCATTGAAGAGATATCCGTTGAGGACAACACTCAGAACCAAGGCAACCATAATCCATTTAGAAAGCACTGGGTCTTCGAGACTCTTCAGCAGGCTGTCGACAACTCTGCCACCCATTCCGTAGTCGCTGGCAGATCCGCCGTACTCGATGGAGTATGGGCTATGCTGATCATGGTGCGTTGCGTAGTGGATAGAGGGGTACTCGAGCGAGTACTTGATGGGCGATAGAACGGTGACGACGGTAGGAAGACCGCTTAGCTTGGCAGTCGCGAGAATAGCATCGAGGCCGTTGGAGGCCACCTTGAATGGATCGAGAGCGCTGAAACCGGGGGTAGCAATGCCAGAGACCGAAGAAGCAGCTGAGCTGTTCTTGCTGCTCCTGAATGGGATAGTCGCAAGGTTGATAACATTGACAATGACGAATCCAGTAACCATCAGGACCTTAAACTTTGGAACGCTGCTATCCTTGACCTTGCGGCCAAAGATGTTCGTCTTGCCGTCAGATCCCTCGCCGTCTGGTCTTGGCCAGTCGTTGCTCTGTGCCACGTTCTCGGCCAGACGCTGGCTAAGTCCGTCATCCTCGAGAGCTCTGCGGAGTGCAACGTGTCTCTTGATCCTGTTGATCTCGAGCTTGATGCTGAGAATGGAGGTGTAGAAGGTGAAGAGAAGGATGCAGTCGAAGAAGAGGATCCAGGCAGCGAGGAAGCAGAACTGCTGAAGTCCACCCTGAACCCCAGAAACGGCACCAGCAATCAGAATTGCGATCTCAATAGCGTAATCGCGCACGATCTCGAATCCCTTCTCCTTGATCGCGACCTGGACAGCATGCTGGATAGATGGTGGCGAAGTGCCCTCCTTATCGTCCTTGCTGGAACCTGGGCTGTTGGGAACAGGAGCTCTGCGGCTGTCAACGGCGACGGAGAGGACGGCCTTGGTGAGGACGATAGCCTTCTCGAATCCGATCGTGACAACGAGGAACGGCAGGCCTTCGGATAGAAGGACCATGTTGATTGGTACTCCCAGCTTGGTCGTGACGATAAGGCCGAAGAGGAACGAGAAGCTGGACGAGAACAAGACGGTCGTTGCGAGCCAGAAGTTGGATCCCATGCGGCGCATAGAGAGGAACAGAGAGACGAAAGTCAGGTGCATGGCAATGTATCCTAAAACCATGATGAAGATATCCAGTGTCTCGGCGTTCTTGAGGAGGTCGACAAACTTGGACCAGGCGTTAAGAGCCCAGAGTCTGACGCTACCGGAAGCTCCAGGGGCCCTGGCTGCCTTCATTATCCACAGCTTCTGTTCCTGGACACCCAAACCATCGGCCTCGTTGTCGACATTTGGGATCTCCTGAGCCGACGCGAGGAATTCTGGAGCCTGGGAATATGGGATGGAGAATGCGAGGGTGCTATCTTGCGATATTGACGCGAGAGGGTTCGACGTAGATGGCAGCGCGGTAATAGACAAGTTGTTGGGAAGCGGCACAGTGTGGGAGAGCGGCGCATCAGGCGAGCTCGACGAGAGGGAACCAGGGAAGACGAAGGTCAGGAGAGCGAGACGCTCAGCCTCGCTCGGGATTGGCGCATCCGCATCCTGCGCTTGCCATTTCCACGCGGTGTCCTTGCCAACGTATAGCTGTCGGCTGCCCTCCACCAGGGAGCCCCAGTCGGCCTTTCCAGCCCCCGATGGGAATCCGTCCAAGCTGCCCTCGAGCAGGCCCATGTAGGTCGTGCTGGCGAGGAAGGCAACGATGACAACGGTGTGGATCGGGTGGATGCAGGCCTTGCGGGACAGGGCCTGCAGCAGCGGAGTGATGTTTTTGTTCAGCCATCCGGGCTGGGCGTTGGCCTTTGTGTCCTGGGGCCCGCGGAATCGCGCGGGCAGCAGAGAGGCGATCATGATGTCGGGGGTAACGAGCACACTATGTTGAAGGCATGGACGTCCAAATCAGTATCGAGTGGGTGGAAACTGTTGGGTTGGTGTGTTAGCAGGTTGAAGTCACCTCGAGGTTAATTGCTGGGGGGGCGAGGGCGATTCTTCAAGCCTCGGCGTGAAATGGGCGAATTGACTTTCGCAAGCTCTGAAGTGGTTGGAGTGGTCTCTCGCGAGCTCAGACAAGGGGGAGGAGTAAAGGAGAGACGTACCAAGCTCTGGTGGTGGTGTTGCTCCGTCGTGGAGTCGGTGAAAAATAAAAAGATGCTCAGATCCTCGCCAAATTATTCTTCGTTGAGAGAGGTTGGGTTGAACCAGCGACAAGCGTTGAAGAGGGGGAGAAGAGAGACGGAAAGGGAGGAGGGGAGAGGAGAGAAAAGAGCTGTGGGGGATAGAGAGGAGAGGGAGGAGGTTGAAGTGGTGGTGGTTTGGGAGTTTTGGGGGTTCTTGAGGTGGAGACGGGGGGGGAGGTGGAGATACAGGAGGAGCATCAGATAGGGAAACAATTGCTTTCGGGTTTTTGGGCTGGGAGGTGGTAGGTGGGTGGTAGGTGGTAGGTGGGTGGTAGGTGGTTGGCGGGTACTTAGTGGTGGGTGGGCTCCACAGCAGGGGATGAAGTACTACGGTGGCCTGGGTAACCGAGATTTGCGTAAGTGACAGCCCTTTAAAACAGCGATGTAAGTTTAGTGGTAGGGGTGGGTAGTTGTGGTAGTTGTGTACTGCACCGTACAGGCTTTTTAAACCTTTAAAACGGCGATGTAAGTTAGTTGGTAAGGGTAGTTGGTAGGCAGCAGTGTATATTATCAGTACAGTAGTAAAAAGTGACAGTCGCGACACCGGAGTTAAGTAGATGGTGGCACATGTGGCACGTCTTGGTATTGTTCCTAGTTTGTTCGATGGTGGAAGGATACACAGGGGGATGGTAGACGGCCCAGGCGTACAGCCATATGACCAGCTATTTCATACTGTATCGTTTGTCTCTTTCAGATATAAAGGATCGCTACGAAACTGGAGTATAGAATAACGTAATTCTCTCCAGCCGGCTGGGAATCAAGAGACTACCACAGTACAGTATAGGATAGTATCAAAACCACAATACCCAACCGTGGCTTGGCTTAATAGCATTCGTCACCCTGCAAGGAAAAAAGTCAATCGGGATGCAAACGATAAAACGGCCGCAAGTGTTTAACTGGTCCAGCTATGCGCGGCCTCACGGAGAATATAGCTAGCCACCCACACAAAAGTCTAAGCCCCTTTAACCCTTGGATGGAAGATCTTACCCCCCCCTTTTCATCCCTTCTTTCTCGGCTTCTCTAACTTCCATCTCGGCGTCCGGCACCAGCCACTGTGTCACGTGCTGACTCCTTTGCTTCCCCGTGCACCCCGTGCACCCCGTTCACTGCTCCTTGTGCTTAAAGGGTTTAAACTAACTGCCAACTTTTCTTCCTTCACCGCCTTAATCGCGTGCCAGCTAAAATGCTCGATGCGGTTTAGTCCAATTGGTTTTGACCTTACTGCTATAGTACTAGCTAGGTACCCCAGTACTACCCTTATCGTTATCCAGCATCCCTGCAGGGACTCTCCGCATGATTCATCCCATCATCGGCTTCCCGTCAGCTTGCTCCCCTGCACTTTCAAACAAAAATGTTGCAATAGATACCCCACATTCTCTCTTATTTTCTCATAATATAAGCCATTTTCTTCATTTATTTCTCTTTATATATATACACATGGCTTTGGCTTTATAACCACACCCCACAATGGACGAACCATCAAACCCCGAACTCGAGTCCTTCCGCCAGCAGTGGCGCGCCGAGGTATCCGCGAAATCGAAACCCGGCGACTCGAGCACCTCCAAGAAATCGACCCAGCCTCCGTCGAAACCGACTGCGCGCAGGCCATCTGTTGTCCCCAAAGCTCCACCGAGGCCATCCGCGGATGCTGAAAGCGACAACGAACCCTCCGACGAGGATGCCGACCTAGCATCTCCCGCGCCCCTCCACCCTCCCAGCTTCGAGGTCTCCCCAGCAAGGTCGGCAGTCGAGAAAGATGTCGAGAAATTCAGCGGCACTGCGCCCAAAGAGCCGGAGTCGGCATTGGAACATTATGAAAAGGCCGCTGAGCGAGAAGCACAAGGCAATCTCGGGGACAGCTTGACGCATTACCGAAAGGCCTTCAGGGTATGCCTCCCCTCCCGCGCATACAGCCGACAAATACTAACAACCACACAGATAGACGACCGCGTCGACCTCAAATACAAAAATAAACACTTCCCCCCCTCCGCCGCCCCGAAACCCACCGCCGCCGCCACCACCGCGATCCCCTCCTCC